ATTCATGAACATTTTGTCTTCTATGAATGACAATAAAATATTCTTTATTGACGAAGTAGGATTTAGTTCAATGCAAGTTAGAAGAGGACGTTCTTTAGCTGGAAAGAGGGTCACAAAAACAGTGACCAATATACGGTTAAGAAATATTTCCGTCTGTTGTGCAATGAACAAAAACAAATTTTGAAATATGAATCACAAACAAGAGCATTTAATACAGAAAGCTTTTTAGATTTTATTTGTTTAGTATTAGCACAATTAGCTGTTAATGAAGTTGTTGGAGCTATCTTAATTTTAGATGTTCGTTTTCATAAAACTGCTGTTGTTCATAATGAAATAGTACGTGCTGGGCGTTCTTTGATATTTTTACCTCCATATTTCCCCTATTGAAAATATGTTTTCTGAATGGAAGCAGTTTATCAAAAGATGTTCGTCTAGGACTGAGGAGGAACTACTTGAAAATATACAAAACGGTGCATTGAATATTACTAGCACAAACTGTAATAATTATTTTGCGCACGTACTGAGGTATATGATTCCCGTGTTCAAGAAGAGAACCAGTTATTAAAGAATAAACTTATTTTTGTAATTTTTATTTTTATTAGCAAGTATTTGCAATTACAATACTTTATATACGATAATTTTTTTGTTTAGATTTTAGTTTGTATCCAAACTAAAAAATTATATTATCTAAATGAATTTTGAAAGAATCTAAGTGCTTTATTTGTATATTAATTTAAGTATTATTAGCGCTGTCGAAATTGAATGCAAAACAGTCGAAATCAAATGCAACGGTGTCGAAATTGAATGAAACATTGTCGAAATGTACTGATACAATGTCGAAATTGAATGATACATTGTCGAAATGAAGTGGGAAACCCTGTATTTTACATATATCGTCGGGGATAGTGCAAATCCGCGTAACTAGCATTGGCTACTATATTTGGATATTATTAATTTTAACACCAAATATTTATTGATGAGATTACAAAAAAAACATGAATAACACTCTTTTTACTAAAATGAACCCAAAATCAGTTAAAATAAAAAATAAATAAAGTTTTAAACTTCTCTAGTGAAAAAAATGTACTGTAGATACGCAGTATTATAAAATGCTAGTTACGCGGTTTTTAATTATTTTATTGTCCCGATTAAATTCAACCCATTATTATTTAACAAAAATTTTCATCATAAATATAAATACTTTAATTCAAAATAGAGTGTTTTTAAATTGTCGAAATGTGATGCAACAGTGTCGAAATGTTGTGATACAATGTTGAAATGAGGTGAGAAACCCTGTAAATTTAAAATTTTGATCTAGGTTTATTTTAAATTAGGTTTAATTTGAAATAGGTTAGGAGTTTTAAATATCTCAAAAGTAGAAAAAAAAATACTGAAAATCTAGTACTAAAAATACTGATAGTGTACTTTTTAATCATTACTTACAACAGTACTTCATCAAAAGCGAGTACAAATTTAAGCATTTTAACATATAGATACATGTTTTGCAAAAATATATATCTATATGTTAAAATATAATCAGAAAAGTTATGAACTGGGTATCAATTATATTATGTTTTACGGAATTTTTTTTTTTTAACACTACATTATGTGTGCATTTTAGTATGACTATTTATAAAAAATACATTTAGAACTAACAATCTTTTTTTTTCTATAAAAATGTATCGACTACCATGATGTGATTTTTGTGGGGATCTATGAAACTGGATAAGATACCCCGTGTAAGTATATCGGGGAAAGTCGGGTAGCCCCGGACGGCGGTTAACTCCGGACACTTGATGTACAGTAAATGTAAACTAAATAAGCTATATGACTTTTAATACTATAATAACATTATTTGAGTGAAAATATGGCATATGCAAAATATCTATCATAATATGCCGAAGCGAATGACTAGGAGGGCAAGATATTGTTTCCCACCACCAGAAGAGCGACGTAGAACCATATCTGATTCGCATATTAATATACCTAATTGTTATGTAAACTAATAATTTTTTAATGATTAAAGATGCATTTTTATTTACAATAGTTTTTAAAAAAAGGTCGTTTAAAACTTTAATTCACTGGTTTAAAAACTAGTATTTGTGAATGAGGTATGATCGGGTGGTATCGGACACATGATTAGAGGGTGGCTCCGGACAACTTAAATCGTTTACATAATAATAATAAACAACTTTTTTTTATAAAAATATTAATACATTTAATATAATGCACAAACCTATAATAGTAACTCATTTAATTCCAATAAAAAAACATTAGATTTGAAAAAAGTGTTTTTAAACGGTTTATTTCCATTATAAAAAAGCTTATGTTTATATTTTTAAATGATGACATTTTCATTCTCATTCCTTATATATCAATGGCAATTTTGAAAAACTAGTTTTTTAAAAATGTGTCGAGAACAGTCTAATGCTAAATTATTATATATTACATTTGTATATATTACATTTACTGGTAAAAAAGAGGAAAAATCATGTGTCCGGGGCTATGTGTCCGGGGACTATGTGTCCGGGGCTACCCTCCAATTTTGAAACATACCGTTTTTCTAACATTTTTTCTTTTATGTTTTGTATATTATTAAGATACACAATAATTATTTTTTTGTTTCTATTTCGATAGATGAATGTTTGAACTTTTAAAAAAAGTCTTTTGAAACTTTGTTTTATGTTAGCTCATGTGTACAGTCTATATTTTCCTGAAGTGTCCGGGGCTACCCGACTCTCCCCCAACATATACTTTTATAAACCTCACAACTATAAAAATTAAAATATCTCGTTACAATCTTATTATAAAATTAAATATTTAAAACAATTTTAAAGTTGAATAATTTGTTTTCGGATTTCATAACTCTAAACATAAAAAACATATCATTAATGGTGACATCATCGATGATAACAACATTGATGGTGACATCATCGATTGCGAAATCACTAATGGTAACATCATCGATTGTGAAACTTTACTATGCTGTAATAATCATATGATAAGTTTCCCAAAACTGTTTAGTATTTTTTTTTACATCCTTGCTAAATAATAGTATTAATGTTACCATTAATACTATTATTTAGCAAGGAAAACAAAATGTATAAACCATAAAAATTACTAAAACTGTTTCATGGTACCCTATAGACCTCACATGTAGGTTTTAAATTTTACTTTTATTTAAAAATTTTGATTAAAAGAATGAAATTAAAGAAAATAACAAATAAAAATTTTATTTAAATTATATAAATAATTTAAATAAAAGTGTTTTTGTTTTTTTAAAAAAAAATAAAATAAAATATCAATAGATAAAATATTATTAAATTATCTATAACAGTTTCCAGAAAAAGTTCATACAAAACTTCAAAATCTTACATTTTGTTAAAAACTCCGATGTAATCAAATTTTAATTGGTTTAACTAATTGTAACTAACCTATTAGTAAAATTCTAAAGTCGTTAAGTAATAATAAGTAAATACCTCAATTATAAACACTTATACTTTTGAGTATCATTAATAGAATGAATAAATAGCAATTTTAAAACAATTCAGTAAGCAAAAGAGGTATTATCGCTAAAAAAACAAATACCTTTTGTTTACCAACCTGTTCTACGTTTACCGACCTGCAGTAATTAAATTTTTATAAATAATTGTTATGTAGATTCTACAATTGTTATATAGATTCCCCTATTGTTCTGTAGGTTCTATATCTGTTCTATAGATTCTACAAAAGTAAGAGAAAACTAAAACTTAAAATTAAGTAAATTTTTTAAAATATTTTACTTAAAATGAAGTATAAAGCTTAATTATTTTTTAGCAAGAAGCTACAATACTGTTTAGTACTTAGTTTCTAGCGTTCATGCTCTTTAATGTGTTATTCCCTAAAAACATTTAAAGGCGAGTTTCCACTCATCCGTTTTTTCACGGGAACGGGAAAAATAATCACGTGGGCATGCGTAGTATAAGTTTTAATATGTCTAAAGGAAAACTACGCATGCTCGCGTGATTTTTTTTTCCCTTCCCTATCCCGTTGCCTTGAAAAAACGGATGAGTGGAAACGCACCTTAATAAACATTTTATCATATCAGTATGTGTGAGTCATCAACTATTTATATTTTTATTTCACATCGCATGAAACTTCAAATATTTATAAGGTAGACTTTGATTAAAATTGATATTTAAAAAATTTTAATTTGATTAAATAGATTATTAAGATAAAGTAAAAATAAAAAGCAAAGATAAAATAAAAAGCATAGATAAGACATTTGAGACAAAGGGCAATGTCGGAACGTTTAACAATGCGGTGTCGTAGAATTTAGTGTACCGTTAAGTTAAAAAAAAAAAAAAAAAAAAAAGCGTTTCTGTATAGTCACGCATCGTGGATTGAATCATATAATATAAAATAATGTGCTTGAATTATTGATCCGTTAAGCACCGCTAATACATTTGACTCCGCGGATAAACTTCTTTTGCATACGGCTTTACAATTATTCGAAGGAGTAAAAAATGGTTACAATTTTCATCAGATAAACGCATATATTGAAAATATTTTAAAACACCTTTCAGTTAGAATTCGTTTAGGATATAAAAAATATATCCTGATAACTGTTTAACAGGGATTAATATTTTATGACTTGTAAAGATTTCGTATTTTCTATAGAATGATATAAATATATACATATAGTGCGTTTTCTTAGGTGTGGAAAAAAGCAAGTAGAGTTGAAGTTTTTGTTAGGTTAAGCGTTACTTTACTGATAATATAATAATAAAAACATACATATTTGTATATGCATATAAATGTAGATGTATGTATATATATCTACATCTATATGCACGCGTATGTATATATACGCATACGTATATGTATATATATATATATATATATATATATATATATATATATATATATATATATATATATATATATATACGCACGAGCGTATATAAATATACTTACTAAATATACGTGTCTTTAAATATATACTGTTCGGCTAAACAAAGCAAAATATAGTAAATAAATCGAGGCAATACATGGGAGGGAGATACTTTTTGCCTAGCGGACTCTCTAAATAAAAATCTAATAAAAGAATCATTGTCGTTCTAAGATTACTAACTATAAAAGTTGGAGTTAATATTTAAAAATTTTCGAAGATGCCACCTAAAGAAAAGACAGCTGGTGTCCATAAAATTATTATGGTTGGAAGTGGTGGTGTTGGTAAATCCGCATTAACACTCCAGTTCATGTATGAAGAGGTAATTCATTTGTTGATTTAGTTTGTTTTATTTTAGAAATATTGTAGCTATTGCTTTAATAATTTGATACAAAAATTACTAACAATTAACGAACAATAAACAACTAATTATAATAAATAATAATCACTATTATATATTTATAACATAATTAAATCTTCTAATTAAAACGGACTATGAAAAATTCATCTTAAAAGTTTGTAAATTCAAGTTATATTTGGAGTCTTTTAAAAAGTTTTAAAAAATTGATGATTGAATTTTAAAATTGTCTTATTAAACATAGACAAATACAATTATTGAACTTTTGCAAAATTTACAAATTTATATCTCAGTTGTTTGATTTAGCATTTTACTATTTATTTTTATTCTTAACGGTTAGACCAAATTATATATTGTGTTGACTTTTGGTAGATGGTTTCATCCAAATAGTAATAAACATCAATTTAATTAATCAATTATAAGTCTACAAATTACAATATTATTTTCACATATTATTTCAGAAATGGTTTTTGTACTAAAAATGAAATAGCGTGAGGGAGCTAATACAGTTGAGGAAGCTACTTTTTTTATATTGTGGTTGCAAACCTCTTCCAACTCTTCAATTCTGAAACACAAATTTCAACAGATAAGTCTGCTACATGGAGAAACATATTGCATGCAGTAGTACCAGTGATGTGGTGGGGATTTAATTCAAAATGAAAGTTTGAAATTATTCTAAACTGGCATGTGTAGTTATTCTTTTTACTGTTCTGACAATGTCATTGCTAGCAGACTTTTTATGGCTTTTATCAAAATAGTCTTCTCTGTGCTGGCAAAGATCAACAACGTTCTAAAAGTTTTTATAAAGTGCTGCCTATCCATCAAAATAGTATTTAATATTACTAATTTGTATTATGTTTGCCTCAATAAAATTGGTAATTAGCTGTTGTATTTTAAATACAAAGTATACATCATGCTCTGCATAATATATCTGCATAGAAGGAAGCAAAATGACATATCAAAACACCATTTAATTTATAGTATACAATAATAGGATGTAGTATACATTTTGGTTTATTCTAGTAAACAACCGGAGTTGATATTTGACTGGGGTCGGGGCCGGGTTTGATAAAATATAGCCGGGGCTAGGGCTGGGTTTGTGACCGGGACTGCATAATCATTTATATATCCTAAAGTATAATTTTTTTTTTTTTTCAATTCATGTTATTTTTTATATATATGCATATATATACATCATTATGATCATCATAATCATCATTACCATCATCATCATCGTCTTATTTTTTGACAAATACTATATCATATATATATACTAAAGTTTATATAAATATGAAAGGATAATGTATGCCAGGATCTATATAAATAGAAAACATATATGTTTATATCCATTTTTATTCCTTCTGGACTAAAGGTTTGCAAGCTTTTTTTCCTACTCTTTAAGTCAAACCTTATTCCAAAAAGCTAACGTTAAAAGGTCCTGTCTGAGCTCTATTATTGTCAGTTTACTAAATCTTGTATCTTTATCAGATGTTAAGTTCTAGAGACTTAAGGTTAGTCTTCAACATTGTCATTAACTAAAGTAAGTCTAACATTTAATCATATTAATTATATAATATTTAATTTTTAAAAAGTGCTAAATAAGTGGTTCCAATTTTTCAAAACTCTAGAAAACACTTTGACCTACTTTTATAACTATTCTATGATTAGTCTTCTCTCTTTATTAGTTGCTTTATATAAGGTTTTGAGATTATTAAATAATTTCTTATTGACTGCAGTAATAAAGTTATTCTAAGTTATTCTAACCCTGATCTCTCTTCTGTAACAGCCTGAGGCTTGCTGTGACTTATGGTTTTAAGTTCTGGACTTAAAACCTGCGATTTTTGTTAGATAACAAAACTCAATTATTTACTGCAAAAAAAATATTGCAATATTGTTGGCAAGCCGTTAAATGTAAAGCACATTGTAAATTTAATGCAGGTGTGGTGTAGTGGTAGAGTGCTCGCGTCATAAGCAAGAGGTACCAAGTTCGATCCCACCATAATTCTTGTAGTACATAAAATTATAATGTATAAGGTATTATAAATATTTTACTAGCCCCAGCTATCAGCCCCTGCTAAATTTTATAGTTTGGCGTGGGTCAAGTTTGAAAAAGGTCTCATATTTAGCCAGGCCTGGGCCCTTGTCAAAATTAGTTTATTCCAGTGGTTACTCAGCATCTCATCCTAAATAACAAGTTTAAAGTTCTCTGCATAGTCACGCAGTATTATACACTCATTGTGAGTGTATAATACTGATAATTTTGATAAAAATTTTGAAATCGATTTTTTGATTGATTTGTGTTTTTCTTTATTGAATTGTTATTTCTTTAATGCTTATGTTAAACTTTATTGTTAAAATCACTGACACTGCAGTCAGTGTCAGTGATTTGCATTACATTCTTATTTAAATGAAGCATATTTTCCATAGTTTAAGTTAAATAAAAAAAATAACTAATTAAAATTAACGTTCTTTCGAAATAATGTTCACATTATTTAGATTATAAATATTTTTTATACACTTCATTAGTTTGAAAGTGTCATATTATATGGCTTTCCCTTAAACATGATTGAATGTTTATTTTATTTTTGATTATTTAATGATCATATAGTTTTTTAAATATTTAATGATCATATAGATCATTTTAGTTATTACAAGGAGTCATTCAAAAATTCGAAGTAAACAGAGTTAAATATATCAAAAATCCACTTTAAATCATATACTAGTATCTGGATCTTGGGGAGTTCTTTTCATTTTATTATGTTATTATTTGCACTGTGTCTTTGGAGAAAAATCTGTTGTAGTCTGAGTGTAAAAATGTTACAAAAATAACTTTCTTCACATACTTTTACATTTATTTAGTTTCTTTGTAGCATTGATACAATAGTTTTGAATAATCTTTACAGCAGTTTCAGAAAACTTACTTTTACCCAAAATAGATATTTTTTCTTTATAAGATTGTATAAGATTATATAATAATAAAAAATATGTTTTAAGAAAATATATAGTATTTCAAAATCTAATTCCCATTTGCTTTTAAGCATGCTTAACATGCTTAAACTTGTCTAATGTTGTTTTTTAATACCTGAATGGCTCCTTATCCAGAACAACTTTAAAAGAACTTAAATCACTGTTATTATCATTAATACTTGACAAATATAAAAAGATTATCTTTTTTTTCTTTTTTTTTTACAGTATTAATTTTCATTAAAAAATAACAGCTTTTTTTTAACATTTCAATATGCAATAGTATTATTAAAAAAAAATACATTTTCCTTTAAACATTTCATAGATTACAGCTCATTTTAATCACATCAGTTTTTATATTTATTATAATATTTTGCATAACATATTTAAATAAAATTTAAATAAAGTTACATATTTAAATCAAGGTACTATTATCAAGGTCATTCTAGAAATAATACAGATTTTGAAATTACAAATAATTGTTTGACAACTCTTTCACAAATCCTCAGTCGATGTAGCCCCACTCTTTTGTGGCAGCAGGCCATAAGATAATGGCTTTTTAAGTGTGAGATCAGTGATGTTATCTAAATACGTGTTCATAATTATATATATATATATATATATATATATATATATATATATATATATATATATATATATATATATATATATATATATATATATATATATATATATATTATAGCATATATATATTATAGATTTTTTGCTTACTTTTTTCTTTGGCTTAATAAAAGAAGTGCCTATGTTGCCTTTTTTTGCAAAATTGACTTTTTTGAACCATTTTCCATACAAAAGAATTGCAGTCACCTTTGGTAGTAGTACTTAGTAGTGTGATGATATCTGTAGAAGAAGTATGAGATAAATGTTTGGGTGAGATCATATCATGGTTTGAAAAACCTGAAAATATATATATAAATATCTTGGTAAAGTTTTAAGTAATTAAATAAACTTTTTAGGTTTATAAAATAGTGTTATCTTTTTAGGCAAGATTTTTGTTTAATAAATTTTTGAGTAACAAATTAATGGCATATAAGGTTGTTATAATAGTGAGTAGATGGTATTTAAGATTGTTGCAATATCTTGTTTGTCGTATTTAAGTTTATTCTTGTTTCAAGCAGGTTGTATTTGAGGTTTTTGCAATATCAAGTAGGTGATCAAAATAGTTGCAATATAGAGTTCTTGCAATATTGCAGTCATTAAAATATTTTAAATTTATCCCTACTTTTTTATTATTTTTCGATTACATTTATTTAATATTTAAATCTAATATTTAAAAGTTATTTTTTAGGAATAAAATAACAGTTATGAATGTCTAATTTATTGTTTGTTTTATAGATGACTTGCGAATATCTATGTTCTCATTTTCAAAAAAAACATGTGTGCGTACTTGTAGGCGCACATGTTTTTTTGTAAGTAATTTTTAACAAGATATGTAAATTTTAACAAAACCTTTCCTTGACATCTACTTTTTCTGGACACCTTAGTAATGTTTATTACTAATTAATGCAAAGCTTTTTCATCATAAGATAATAATTAGTTTGAGGCCTGGAGAATTTCATTGTGTAGTGCTCTCTGCTGTTTTAGTAAAAAACCTTAATATCAGAGTATATGAAATGGCTATTTCTCACAATTAGATTACTGTTTTTCCATTTTATGGGCATTATTTAAATATACAAAACACATTTGACAAATTTCAAAAAAAAAAAAAAAAAGAAAATTACAATTTTCTAGATAAAAACAACATTTTAGAAAAATAAATTAGATGACAAAGCTAAAAGTACTAGATAAAGTAGTTTTCTCGCTTTCAACGCAAAAAGAAATTAAAATTTTTTTTTCTCATAAACAAGTTAATTTCTTTACTAAACAGAGTTGCAACATTTTTAGCTGAGTCGATGTTGCTAAACAAAATCATGGCTCCAACTCCAATAGTAAAACTTCTTGGTATTGCACATGCATGTACAAAATAATCAATTAACCTT